ATTGGATACTTCAGATTTGTGATAAAAATAAATCGTTAACTTATCAGAATAGAGCCGTGGCTTAACAAGTTCGGGTTCTTTCGAAATTTCCAATGACATTTATAGTTTACGTAGAAAGTTTTAAAAGAATTGATCATAATGTTAGATTATTTTATATTTTTATACGTTTCATCTAAATATCTATTATATATACCAGTATCTTATATGTAAAGTATATGCCAGATATAATATGCTTAGTACTTATATAAAGTATATCTACTGATATTATACGATTTTTTTCTTTTGCTAAAACTATTACCATCATTATTTAAACTAGTTTCAGAGAAATATTCCAAGTAAGTTTTTTTTAAATTTTATTTTTCTTGTGCCAATCTATTTACAAAAAAAAAAAAAACTTATATAGGAAAATATAGGAACTTTCCAATGTGAATTTAGTTACTTTTAAACAGATAAGAGCTTCTTTAGTTGTATAGAGGCCAGAAGGGATTTAAAATTATCTAGTTTTTGTCTAAAATATAATATAAAGCCTTGAAGATAATTAACATTAAAATATACGTCTTCTCTAATGGTCAACTTTGGGTTGAATAACTTTGTATAGATTCATCTGTAAATTCTAGTGATCTATCAACTGTATCTACTACAGCCAACCCATCATTATTCAGCTGGGGACCCAAAATAGTAGGAGGTCAATCAGTTGATCGAGTTGACCTACTGACATTCACTAGAAACCTAGTCGGTATCACAAGGAGGCGAGCCCCATCTACCCTAGTCCGGCAATCTGAGCTGCATTTGGTACCTTCAGATCGAAGAGCCTACCTCGGCTGAAACATGGTGGCTGTGGTAGTGGTTCTAGATAGTAGCACAAACCACTGTATCTAGTGAGAGGACTGATACTTATGTGGCACTTAACTGAGTTATCCCGGTATTCGAAAAGGTACAGACCTATTGATTCGATGCTGGTGTTCAGAAGACCTTAGGCCGGTGATGGCTTACCATAGTCGCTCTAGCATCACATTATCCCGCAAATAGCGTTCATCACTAAGAAGCCGTCGAACGGTGATAAGCGCAAATCACAAGACTCGGAGACTTCTATACATACCTAGTAACCTAGTACATACAATACCATTAATTAATAATACTAAGGTGTAAACGTGTGGTAGAGAGTTATTGAAAGTATTTTTAACATTGTTATATGCTAATTGTGAATAAAAATGGAACACTCACAATTAACAGATAACTAGATTTAACAAACCTTTAAAATTGAAAAAACGATTAAGAATTAATTTATTTTCATCCTTTAAATGTTTATTTAGTGTAGATACTTAAAGTTATCATTTTACTTGTCAAAAGACAATTTAAATTTTCTAACAATTTAATTTGTTTAAGTTGTTCACTCTACATAGATTTACTAGCATTCTAATTATTTAATTTACTATTGGGACTTTCAATACTTGAAATTTCTGTAAAATGTTTCGTGTAAACTGTAAATTTCCTAAAAAAATATAGGTGCACCAAAACAATCAAAAATAGTCATATATACACAAACGAAATATTTGTTTGAAAGTCTAGTTGAATTCTACTTAACGAATAATTTGAATTACTCCTTGATTTGAATTGAATAGGTAGTCTAACAAACACTATGCCAAATAACCAGATGGCAGTTACACCTGAATTCGAACTGGAAAAGAAATCCGGCGCACACTACAACAGATGCGCCTGAATTCAATCGGATAGGCATCTAAACGTTACGGAATGGACACAACGTAAACAGCGCGGAGACGGTGACGGAAATTGAAGTAAGAGCAATATGACGACTAACAAAAGTAATATCTATACGAAAAGATGAACTATGAAGGATGATACAGTTTAATTATTTCGGGTGGAGTTTTCGTTATCGATTTAGTATGATACAATGAGCAACGAGGTTCGCAAAAAAACCATATTATGTATTTTACTAACAAGTTACCCGAACAAAGTGAACAGCAATAATAAGAACAATAATTTAATCATTGCTCTATCGGTATTGTATAGTGATAAATACTAATAATAATAACAAACCATAATAATAAATTGCACAACACACAGGAAGAATAATAAGAGAAAGACGAGGGGGGAGAACGGATAGTCCACTTTAACTCGATAAACTTGTGGAGACCGATTGACAATAAAAGTAACAATAATCATTAATCATAATATTCATAATAATCATATACTCATATACATATAATATAAAACTAGAATAATCGCAACAGAATTATAAACACAATTAATTTTACAAATATATTTAAAACTATATTTTAGAATAGTATAATATGTATAATCACCTTAGTACCTTACTAAAACTCTTAAGTTAAATTTACTCTATTTTTTGAGAGTGACACTTCAGTACATTCTTGATATAAATTATCATTTTCACAAATAATGCGATCAAGACCTAAAATAGGTTTTATTAGAAAAATATTTATTCTCTCAACATGAAAACTAATCATTTTTTGATAAACACCAGTAAATCAGCATTTTAAATACTAGAAACCTTAATATCAATAATAATTTGTATGTTTTCTGCATATATTTTGAAAAATGTATAGCTTTTTTTTTTTTTTATAAATATAGCGTTTATTGAAAATTTACAATCTATACTATGAGTACATTAAGTAAATTTGAGGGAGGAATGACAGTGATGGGGCGGCGAAAAGGGAAAAATGCATAGCTATGCCATTTATAACAGATAACAAATATTATAGTCTATCCTTATTGTCATAAAAATCTTTCAATTAAGTTTTGAACTAATCACACTATATCATAGGTAGTTATAGAAAATGTACAATTATACGAATCTAATACTACCTTCATACCTTTTGTTTTGAAAATACAGGAAAAAAACCTTTGTTCAAAATATTATTATAAAATATTGGAGAATTATAGGAGAATAGTATATTAATTCTTCTCTCTCGAAAAGAATAAAATTATTACACATTTTACTCTATGTTTAATGTGGAAAATTATTATTATTGATGATCGAGAATGCCGTCATTTTGGTTAAAAAATTAATACCCACACTAAAAATAAAAACCTAATTATATGTTGTAATATTCTGTAATTATATCCTTAGATTTTTAAGACAGTACCTGTTCGTCAACATTATCTCCATATTCCATCATTAGTAAAAATTATGAACTATCAACATTGAATACTCTATTTTTCGACGCTAGTGAAAAGAGTAATGTTCACAATTTCAATAACATGACCATTGAACGTGTTAGTAAACTAATCCGTTTTCGAAAAGTTGTAATCCTACGACATTATGATTTAACTGAATTGGGTGATTTTGTCCTTGAACACCGCAGCAATAAATATTTCTGTAATTCTGATAAAATATTTTTATTAATCATAAACCGAATCCACAACCGAATAATATAATCATTGGACTCTTTGATCACAGTTGTAGTTGTATACCGTATTTATTAGGAATGTCCTGCTTTCTGTTTCTGCTTTTTTAGAGATTCAGACTTCATGTCGTATTATTATTATATATTAATATAAATATATTTTCATAAAAACACACAAAGTTTTCAAGTTCAATATCTATAGAAAAACCTTTGTTATTGTTTACAAAATCATTATTAAGTAAAATATATACTCGTACTTGAATAGAGGCACAATTTAATCATTACAAATATTTTTAATTTTAATTTTATATCAATATAACCTAACCACCTAAATTAGACGAATTCCATAAGAATTGAACTTTAAACGTTTATCAAAAAAACTGTGATTTTTAATTTTCTATACTTCTTAATAAACTGGGATAATAATAACATATGTCATAAATTATCTGGAATTTTTTAGCTATTTATTTAAACAAATATATTGTCATATAAATTTAATCAAAACATTTATATTTCAAGTCTCGTTACAGTTATTTTGTATTCATATTTATTTCGTCTTAAACTAGTTTTGTGTAAACTTTGGATGTTGTTAGCCATTTTCCCTATATTTTTTTCTCCGATTACTTTGAAAAAATAATAATTAAAAAAAAAAGCATTTATTTTTTTGTCTTCTTTATACTATTAGACTAAATGACTCATATTGATTTCAACAATAAAAACATTACAACACTGATACTTTATTCAAGATTCTAGTTAATTACAATTAATAAGTAAACTTTCAAAGTTGATTTATATTCTTTAGTGTTTCAAATGTATTCTTTATAGGCAAAAGATTTAAGATAATACGTATGTAGCCGTGTTTATAGGTAGGTACACGTAGAATGTAGATAAATGATATATACAAATACAACCATGCAATTTGTTAAATGTTAATAGGAAATTATTTTATTACAAGCAAATAATAAAAATGATTCATTAGTCATTCAAATCATTTGACATTCAATATTTCAATAAATAATTTTAAAGTGTTTGTAAAAAACACTGTTGAAGTCGTTATGGATAGAACTATGCTTATAAACATATAAATATACTTAGTATCAACTGAAAAGTATACCTACTTTGAAAAATTTAAGGAATTTATATAATTTCTCATCAGTCCGGAAGAACTGGGGTATCGTGATTTGTGATTATATTATATCTATGGTTGTAACACAGAATATATATTCTGTGGTTGTAACCTATGGTTAAAGGTTAATGATTATAAGTGATAACCGGCAATACTATGGAGTGATATAAAATCACTATAACTAACTACCAAAAACTGAAACCACACACCAGACCGTGGCGACTTTATTATTGTTGTTTCTGTGATATTACTTGCCGACTGCTTATCATGTAGTGGTTGTCATAGTTTCGAAATCATGATTTAAAATTTAGTATTAGATATTTCTAATCTTAATATTATTTATCATTGTACAATCTGACGAGTTCATTACTTTAAAACTCTATTATTATACTTTTATTTTATAAATTATTATCTATTGCTAATTACTAGTTACTTATTATTTTGTTTTAAATAAATCTTTCTAAACAAATAGGTATCGCATAACAATATTAATTATTTGGTAATACTATTATGGAGGCTTTTAATTTGAAAAATACTTTTTTCTCGTGTATAACAATTATAGTACTAGTATTATCTATGCTATTTTTCTATGAACCTGCTCAAAACCTACTATGTAGCTATGCGATTTTTGAACGATTCTTAATTAATACACCTAAAGTGTGTTCTCTATTCGATGCAAATCGATTAAGTCGATACAACGGTAATGATGGTGGCAAAATATATTTATCTATTCTTGGTATTGTATTTGATGTAACAGAAGGTAAAAAATTCTATGGACCTGGTGGTTCATATAGTGGATTTTCTGGTAAGTAGCTCAATTCCTACCTATAATAACATAATTTAAAATAAATTGTTTTTATAATTAATTTATTAAAAAGTATTTTACTTTTAATAATTTTTACCCAAATTCAAAGATGTTAAAAATTCTTTTTTTTTTGTTTAAAACAATATATTTTTAGGCCGTGATGCTACCCGTTCATTTATAACTGGTTTATTTGATGAAGAAAACCTAACTGATCATGTTAGTGATATGGATCCAAAGGATTTAATAGGACTAGATACTTGGCTCGACACTTATAAGAAAAAATACAAAGAAATTGGTATTTAAAATTTATATTTTTATATTAACTACTGAATATAATAATATATATTATTATTCCCAACTTTTATTTTAGTTATTTGATTTGAATGTACCATATTTTAATATATACCTATTATTAATATGGTGTTTTAGGAAAATTAATAGGACGTTATTATGATTCATCTGGTAAAGAAACAGACTACAGAAAATTGGTGTTTGAAAAAATAAAATCAAGTAAAATAGCTAAAGAAGCTAAGGATAAAGAAATGAAACAATATCCAAGTTGTAATATAGAATACGTTCAAGAAAATCAAAAAAGTAAAGTCTGGTGTACTAAATTGAGGTTAGATTATTAAAAATATAGACATTGTCTAGTTATTTTTGATTTTAATAGAATGTTGATAATTGTTTTTTTTTTTTTTTTTTTTGTTATATGTTTTTAGTGGTGGCATTAAAAGAAATTGGATTGGAGTACCTCGTAAATTACAATCATTGGATGAAAATGGAAAGTTGTCTTTTCGCTGTGCATGCGTACAACTAGACACCCTAAGCAAAGCTGAACTAGTACATATTAATGAGTATGAGGATTGTGATGCTAGTGCAACAACTTGTTACGTTAAAGTCAGTTAAACTGATATGTTCTGTTTATGAATTGTGTCATTTCTGGTTTTTTTATGCCATTGTAGTATGATTGAAATGCAAATTGTTCTTTCTGTGTTAAATTCCCTTATAATATCAAAATTGTTAATCCCAGAGAACAATAAGAAAAGTTCTAGTTTAATACCCTTGAATCATATTGTTTAGAGTAAATTTAATTAATGTGTCTATTTACTTCACTAATATTAACAATTTTTTATACAAAACTATTCTTAAGTAAAAATTACTAAATAATTTTTGTATTATTGTACTTTGATACTTGGTTATAGCTAACATTATAATTGTCTGGTTAAAAATACTTAATAGTCATATAAATATAGTATAATATAGTTATAGACATAATGTAATTTTCATGTGTATATGTATATATATAATGTACATAAAGATTAAAAACAATATATTGAAGCAAATATTAAATCAGTTGTAAATTATTATAATGCACTATGACCTATACCTTAACATGATAAAAATGTTTTACATCAATTTAATCTATGCCCAAACTATCAAAAAAAATAGACTTTGATAACTATTAATTGATAATATTGATTATTTGCTTTAATTATACGAATTTTTCCTTTTTAACTCAGTGATAACTATAATTAAAGTCATGATTTATTTGAAATTTATGAATTATCAAATACATTATTAGTGAATCTTGTTTCCGTATACACACTTTATTAGAAAATTTAAAAAATTATATTTTGAATAATAATTGTCTTACTGAAGAAAAAAAGGAGAGCATGAATGGTGAATCATTTTATATATTGTGTAGTCATCTAACCATTAAAAATAATATGGTCACTAACACCCAACAGACATCAACTCCAATTTGTGAATCAATACCACATTGTTCACCATATCAGGTGATTTACTCATATCTGTATAAATTATAGAACATAGGTATATGATTACCTTTCTCAATTCAATAATTTTAATACTTAAGTTATAATTTATAATAAGTAACCAAATTTGAAGTTGAAGATATATGTAGGTTTGTTAAGTTTGTTGTTTAAGTTCAAATTTAATTTTCCAAACATATAATAACAAGTATTATAATATATTTATAATATTAAAAATTCATTTTTGTAATTAAATTGACTCAAATAGTTTGGAATGGATGAAATAATGCTGGTAGATTTACAGTCCAATTTTAATAATGATCTGCAAGATGAAAGAATATTTCTATAAGTTGAGAAATATGTCTAAGGGTAGGAACAAGGAAAAAAACTAACAATATTGGATTAAAAGCTTTAAGCATACTTAGATTGTTTTAAAAAATATTTTAGATATAAGAAAAAGTATATATTTTACTATTTAAATAAACATCTATTTAGTTTTTAAATTGGCTTAATTGGTTTATTCGGTTGTTATTTGTTGTTAGATAATAACATATTCTTAGCAGTCTGATATTATAAAATATGAACGATAAAGATAACAACTTTAAATTGCCTATCCAAAACGCCGTCATAAATGCATAATATAATTATAGGAAGTTCATTGAATAAAATGTAAACTATATAAATACCGAAGTTAGAATTTCAAATTTTATGTTCGGTGTTACGTTAATAAATTTACTAACTAATAAGTTTAAGTACTGATTGAATTTTTCATGTATTTATCATATTATTTTTATTTTTTAATCTATTTTGTTCACTTTTATTTGGCCATTAAAGACAACTGCCAAATAACTTTAATAGATACAATTTTTTTTTAGATGGGGGGACTTGGGTGTGCTTAACACTCCGAGTTATTTTAGTTCAGCGCCCTCATAATTTATGCAACTTATAGTTGAATAATTCTATTGTTTTATTTTAGTAAATTTATATTTACTTTTGTATACTAATATCCATTATTCAATATGTGATTGTATTGGATAGATGATATGGTGGTGAAGTCGCTCATTGTAAATCCGTGATTATATAACCAACTGAAAAAATAGGGCTTCAGTATCCTCCTATTTTTTATTCAAACTGTGCCCCGACGAACAATAATACTTTTTCCAACTTTGATCACTAAAATCGGGAATTATGCACAATAGTTGATTTCTTACTTGAACCGTAACCGATAAAGTGGGTAATTACGTACATCAAGACTGATGGTCCAATGGTCATCTTCTATCTTAAAAATAATTTTAGATGCAGCATTGAGTTGCTGTTATGTATATCACTTGCTACTTTGACTCCTATGTAGGTAAAATATAACAAAATTTAAGTTTTATAACCAGAACAAAATTAAGAGTTTACCAGGCCTGGGGCATAGTAATCCAAATAACCCTTTAGGCTTTAGACTTAAGTCCTTACAATATTTATTATCAATAACTGAATTCTATCTCTTAAAAAAAAAAAATGATACAATTTAACCGTCATAAAAGCAATCTCAAGTGATATCATTTTTTTAAATAATATTTGACGCTTCATTTCGAGCATTTTTTTTTATTTTAATATTTTTACTTAAATATTTTAAACGATTAAACATGGTATCATAATTCTTACAAAGTACTTCAATAGAATGTGCTCTAGCTGACCATCGTGTTTCACTCAGACTCTTTAAAGCTACAGTTCTTCCATTAAGACTTTTTAAATCACCACAAATTGTTTCCCGTCGATATTTTGAAGCTGAACAAAATAAATATAAATATTGTATAAACTTAAAAAACATGGATATTACTGAACAATGTTTAACTGTATTGTTCCCAGCTAAATTTAACGAATGTGTAGTACAGCCAGTACAGGGAATATAATCCATATACTTGTTAGGTTTCTTCAAATGCGCTTGTACTCTTTAAAACTTCTTAAACATATTTATTTGAAGCATTATCATATGATTGACCCCAAGCATACAATTTATTCAAATCAAGTTCTTCAAATTTTTCCAAAATGATCTAAGCAATAACTTTTTCAGTATAACCTTCAACAGGTTCAAAACATATAAATTATAAATGAACAAAACAAACGTATTACTATTTATTATAAATAGTACAGGTACAAGGGAAGTATTTATTAATCAATGGAATTCAACATATACATTTAAATATAATACAGATGTATGTGATCTAAATCTATAATCTTTATTATATAACACGTACATTGTAAAGGATATATTATATTAATACTTGTATTGATGTATATCATTTCAATTCAATTATTAATGTACCTATATACTTTAAAATATTTAGGTAGGTACCTTTGTACCTATATTTATAAACTCTTAAAATTAATATAAATTGTCAACAACTATAGAATAAGTCATAAATCACAACATAATATTATCTCAATGTTTTCAATATATAGTTAAAATATTATTTGTTATATATATATACAGTAAAACTCGCTTAAGACGCTCTTTAAGAGACCAGCTCTCTAAAACGTCTTATGTGGGAAAGCGTCTTATGCGGGAATGAAACAAAATGATGTGGTTGAAATATCGAGTTTATTTTTTATTATTAAACATAATTTAATGAGAAATACACTTATAAATTAATTATAATTACAATATACATACATACTTATATTTTTGTGCTACTGAATTTAATTTAAAAAAATATTATTATTACATACATATTTTATTATTGTTTATTAAAAAAATGATCTATTTTTGATTGTTTAAGGTTCTGACAATGTGTTTCAGCAAGAAAGTTTTCAATTTTATTAAGACAACCTAACATTTCTTCGGAATTTTCAACACAGGATAATACTTCCCGAATTTCCGATAAATGTTGCAAACCAGTAGTTATTGTAGGAGTAGACGATGAAATACAGTAAAACTGTTATAATAAGTAATGATAAAATAGGTATAGCGATAAAATAAAACGATAAGAACACGTATAGTACTAAAAATCCTATTTTTATTTTCACAAAACTACTAAAATTTATCGTAATCTGCTGAAAAAAAGAGCGTTTTACCCGATTAGACAGAGAAAAACTGAGCGTCTTAACAGGTGATTTTTACATTGACTAGTATAGGAAATGTCTAGGGACCGACTAAAAACAGCGTCTTATGCGGGAAAGCGTCTTAAGCGAGAGCGTCTTAAGCGAGTTTTACTGTATATATAGGAACCTTATCATGTATTTAAATTTATTTCTAAAGATATTCTTGCTGTAAGGAGCAACGACAACTCAAAACTTAACTTAAATGCGCATGCACAATCATAATACGAATTATTATCATGCAAAAAATCGTATATTATTCTTTAATGGACAATTTAAGTAAATATTAGCGATACAGGTATTCGAATGTGATTTAAACTTTAAAAACGCGAGTGCTAACGTGTAGTTCATAGTGGGTTTGTATTTTAGATTAATATAATTAATATAAGCTTATAGATTATTGCAATGCTTTAATAAAAAAGTTAATTAAACATTTAAACCCGGGGTCAGCAACCTTTTTAGTGTAAAGGGCCAAAACATAAAAATTAATTTTTTCACGGGCCAAAAATGTAATACACCTTATTCTATCTAAACAAAAGTTTATAATTATGTCAAATTTAATTTATTTAAGTTTATTGCTATTTGATGTATTAATTTAATATGATATATATTATTTTATTTATTTTTTTAATTATAACACATATCTACTAGTAATAATAAAAAAAAAATACGAAGTAAAACAGTAAAAGTTGATGTAATTTTTGAATTTGAATAGCATCAACCAGTTTATTGATCGTAGGTTTTACTTTCGATGTAGAAATTTAAAATATGGAATTCAAGTGACTATTATTAGTGAAAAAGTTTGCTCACAAATATATGTACTTCTAAATACAGATAACATTTGTTTATCAAAATATTTTATTTTACTAAATTTTGTTTCACAGAGACTCGAATAAAACTGAACTAAATCGTGGTCAATCATGGAAAGCAGTTTTAAGACTTTCGTCACTTTGCAACTCAATAATTTCCACTTGTAAATAGCATTCAACGTTATCAATATTAACTACAAACGGGTTTTGAAATAACTTAATTTTGAAGTCAATAAAATAAAAATCAGAAAAATCTGTTTAAAAATTTGTTTAGTAACTTTTCAATGGTTTTCAAAAATTTTACTTTCACTTTTTTCCAGTTACATAGGTAGTTGAAATATCTCCATAGCTTTTTACAACAAATGAAATGATCTAATTTTTTCATCGATATGCTTGAAAACAAGTTTAATTTTACTGAAAATTATTGAACATCCGAATTCATATCTAGTAATAGTTTTTCTTTTCCTTATAATTTTAAATTTAATTAATTTTAAAATATGGCTGTGTCAGTTAAAAAAGCAAGGTCGAGTAACAAATTTTTATCAGAAAATTAAGGAATATTTTTTCTTTTTCATTCATAAATATATTTATTTCCTCCCTGAGGCTAAAAAGACATTTTAAAGCTGCGCCCCTACTTAACTAACGAATTTCAGTGAAATAAATAACATAACTTTATTCAGCTTCAATTTCTTCCAAAAACTGTTGAAATTATCGATGGGCTTACTCATTTTTTTATATATAATTTTACAGTTGATACAACTATATTTAAAATATTTTTCCAAGCCAAGACATTGCAACATAGTTTCTTTTGGTGTATGATAAAATGAAAAATCATAGGGATTTCGAATTTACTATCAATTATTTTAGTCTTGTTTCTCCCAACGAAACCTTTATTTATGCCACTCACATTTTTTCCTCGATCAGAAGTAATAAGTACTTGTTAATTTTTTCAATGAAAATCCTAATTTTTCGAATGAGTTTTCGATATTTTTACATATCTTCATCTGTTGTAATATTTTTTAAACTATACATATCGACTTAATCTTCATAAACATTAAACTACTTGGTCATACCACACATAAATATTAAAAGTTTAGCTGTGTCCAAAATATCTGTGCTTTCATAAATAGCTATCGAAAATCAGTCTAATGACCCCTGATTTAAACCTAAAAACTTTACAATAAAATTACAAATAACTTTAATGTTATTTTAACAACTATTTTAATGGAACTCGTAAGTTTAAGGAATTTAATTCGTATTAGTATAAAATATGAATAATATATGAAGTTTTAATAATTCGTTTATCAGTGTTAAAAAAGTATAATTATTCCTTAAAAACAATATTATAATAGTAATATTTAAAATAATGATAATCCTAAATGGCCAAATGGCCCAAATTAATAATAACTGAAACAGATAAAATTATTATTTATTAAATATTACTGTGCGTCGCATAATAAACAAAATACTAAAAATATATTTTAAATTAGTTATATTATTATTTAGCATTTACCCGATAACGTTTGTATACGTTGTACAATTATTTATAGTGTGAACAAAACAAAATTATGTATACTGTATGTCTTTGTATCAAGTTAATTAGTTAAATAAACTACAGTAATTATAATAAATCTTAATTTATATTCCAAGTTGTAGGACTTAAATCTTTGGTGTATTTTGTTTTCATATTAGATATATAACATAGTAAATAATTACTAAAAATATTATATTAGTAAATATCTAAATTAATATTCAATTTTTTTTCTATATCAGCTCTAGTTATTGATTATTAATTATTATATAAATATGGATAATAATTATTTTAAATTAGTACCTACATAGTATAAATATTAAAACAGAAAGAATTAAAATTATCGTAATTTGTTTAGAAACTGTAATTATAAATTCAACTTCTAACTATGTAAATAAAATCTTCGAGGCCATCGGCATTCTGAAATTAAAATCATTTTTTTCTTATAAATGATAAACGTATAGAACGATTTCAATATCCAGATAAAAACAATAGGTAGGTATATTAAATATTTATCCCATATGCGTGTTATGTAGGTTAGCATAATAAAATGTACCTTTATACTATTTATTGTGCTATTGGTTTTATAAATTACCTATACAATATGCAACAATTATTATTTGCATCAGTAATAATTATATTATTTATATTTACATTATTTAATTGTACACAATATTCATCGTTTTTTAAGGATTTTTTTTTTCGTTTATTTCAAATTATATTTTATACTTAACCTGCGAGAATTATATTATTTCTGTGTTGTAGCCTGTGGCTATCTAATGATATACTTATACTACATACTATTGTAATCGTAACTATATACAAATATCTAATTATTAATTGTATAATATATTATACATTATAATCAATATTCAATAATCATTGTATCTATAGGTATGTACTGTACCTATAATATATATATTATATATACCTATGTAACATATGTATTATGTACTAATAACTGTCAAGTGCAAATAACATAAATAATAGATATTAATATTTAATAGATTTAACCTTATCGATGCTTTTTAAACCGACTACCGTGCATATCAATAACAATAATACTATTGGTAAATTTTGCTTGTTTATGATTGATGCGTATGTGTAATTGCGTTCTCATCGTGTAGGTAGTACTTACACTCGTCACCCATCGGCCATCTACCATACGTCATTACGTCAATATGAATTATACTATTTATGATTTATAAATATGTTTGACGATTTTCGGTAAATAATTCGATATTTTATCTCTACCAAACATTCTTCAATGTTATTTCAATAAAACTCTGGATACGGCCCTGTCAAGATAATCGTAATTATTAGTTATTACCTATTGTTTAAAAACAACGCTTTTCTAAATATAATAATAAGTGCCTAGCTATTTATTGTTTTATTTATTTTTACTGATCATATCAAAATTTTAGCAACTATATACAAACAAACAAAGTTATTAGTCACACAATACCTATAAACTGTTTTGTGTTCAAACATTATTATATAAAATGTAATTATATTAATTTTGTATGTAGGTAGGAGTACTTATAAGTTATACTTGTTAACATTCAAAACGTCGTTAACTGTTAAGTTTTGTTAACAAAAGTAGTAGTTACCTAGGTACCTGATAACTATTAACTGGTAATTATGCCCAGAAATTTTTTCGGTAGCTTGCCGACCAGTAAATTAAATGATGACTAAAAAATAATTACTGTTCTACTAAACTGATATTAAAATTTAAAAGTTCGATTTAACATAAAATAGTATTATTTTTAAAAATTACCATTCAATACAATAACAGAAGACATCAAATGGTATTTATTGTTTTTAAAATATTTTTTTCAGAATAAAAAAATTGTTATCTGTAGTCTGCTACTCTGTGATTCTAGATACTTGTTACGATAGACTTATGAACATTTTTATAGGTTCAAAACTACAAAATACAAAGGGGCACTGTAATAAAAAATAATAAAATATATAAAATATTGAAACACATGTTATCAGCATTACTGATAACAGTGTCACGGTGATAATACAAGATTCAAGACATTTAGATATTAAACAATTAAATAATTCCAGATGGGAATGCTTTAATGTCGAATTGCTTTTTGATTCTTAGTTCCAAGTAGTATTTTGCCGTTATTAAGTGAAAATAACACACAAACCATTATTAAATGAAGTCTTCATCAAATTGACTTAATAATATACTAGTTTATTTCACTGTTAGTAAGTGAATGTGGTGCACTCTAAAATAATACAGTAGAGATATATTTTATTGAAATGTTGTCATTTTATTGAAATATTTTTATTCCATAGATCATTATGAGTAACTCTAGTCCTAATGTTGAGTCACTTTACAATAAGTCATTAAATCAGTTATGCTATTCTATGAATGAAGACATCCTGATAAATGTGTTGAAGTGGTTACCACCATCAATTAGTATGCAAATCGTGTGGAAGGTTAGAAATACTTTTGTAAAAGAAATAATGTTTTGTTAAAAATAAATTTGTCAATTTTTTTTTATTTTGTAGGTCTTACATGTTAATGATGGTAGTGAAAAATGTATGTATAATCATATGATCCCAGATAGTGAGCTATCTTCCATTAATCGAGGACGTGAAATAGCTCAAATGTCATTACACAACTCAGGTTATACAGCACCTGTTTCTTATAGACAAATGAGCTCTGAAACTCATGAAGGATTTGCCACCATACAACAAGTAACTAATTCATATTTTCATAATACCTATTTCATTATTGTAGTGTTACATCAATATATTATGTTGTAAATTAGGTCAGTTAATGATATTTTGTAGGTATCTTATGAAACAAAAACACTAAATCATAAAAAGTAGAAATTGTGATATTTACTCATTGATCCACTCATAAATGAATATTTAATATAATAATTATTGATGAGATACAAATATTTGTATTTGGCTAAAATTATATGCATAATTTTATAAAAAAAAAAAAAAAAAATTAAATTAAATTTTTAAACCTAATTTAAAATATCTAATAAATAATGATTATTTAATACTGCTTACTTATTGTTAGTCGCACTATCTTTAAAATAACAGCACTTGATTAATATTATCTTCTTCATATTTTTTTACTAGATATTTAAGGCTCGACATACCTTTTAATCAGATCATTATACACTTTTAATTTAATATTACATGAATAATTAAGTAAACTGACACTTTGTAATGTTTATTGTTTGATTTGCATACCGCGGATATATTTTAGGGTAAAAAAGAATTGGTAATAATTGATAGCACAAATTTTGACAGTGTTAAAAAAACTGGTAAAAATTGATCTTGGACACTTAGTGGGTAAAAATAATCAGGAAATAAATTTTACAAGATGAGATTAGATTAAATTTTTCAAACCTTTATCATAAAAAAATTTCTCAAAACTGTACACATCACAAAAGTTAAGCAATAACAAATACACAATTACTTGAAATAATTAGCTGTACTTAGCACACAAATATAACTATAAAAAAATTAATTACACTTTTAAGTTTATATAACTCACAATTGTTCACACAAACTCATCATTTTTAAAAACTAATAATTTTATGTATTTATAATATGTTTGTATACAGTATAATATATTATCTTAAGATATTTATGATTATTTATTTATTTCTATTAGAAATCTACAGAAAAACTTTAAGATTAATTGTATCTATTTATGTAAATGTGTAATAGTAAATTATGTAAAACATTTAAATGTTTTTCTACTTAAAATAGTACGAATTGTGCATGATATTGACTATTTTTATTACCTATAATAGAACAAACTGTTCCAAATAATTATGGTATTAATACTAAATGCTCTCCATAACAATCTAATCCTTCCACCCATTTTCAATATCTGATTTTAGTATAATAAAACATTTTTTTTTTTTTTTCAATCTGTTGAGTTAATACATTTTAAGTATAATGTATAAGCAAATTTGTACAGCAAAAGTCAAAAAACTAAAGGATTCAGATTACTATCAAATTTTATTTGTGGAATTAAAAAACGTAAACAAATAATAAAACTTGTTTTAATGATTGAACATTAAACGCTTTCAACTAAAATTAAAAAATGTATATGATTTGTTAGTAAATTTTTAGTTTTTTTTTAAATTTAACTAAAAAATGTATGATGTTTTAAAATAACTTTAAAACTTAAATGTATCACATAAATATTTACAATAATGTTAATATATTTTTTCTATTTCTTTTTTTTATAGACTAAATTTATTGATCGTTTCAATTTTTCTCATCATTTCAATTTAACTTTGTTTTTAAAATTTGTGGATGTCACCAATTACCGAAGTAAACTGTTCACTATTTTTCAGGTAATATTAGAATAAAACAAAATCAAAATATTTAAAAGAAGTGATTTTTACAATATCATGTCAGTTATATAATATATTTTACTGTATATAATATTTTTTTTAGATTTGTATACAAATTAATGGTTTTCAATTTCCTAAACAATTGGCTGATGAATGGATAAAAATAGATATACAAGATGAAAATAATATTGTATATGGCCATCATATTGATCAAGGTCTCAAATTAGGTTTGTAAAATAGTTTTTATTTCAATTTTGAAAATCTATTGAAATTATGATTGAAAAATAGGAATTTTTCTTGGGGATGCCGGATGGTTCGGAGAATGTGCACTAGTTTTATCACATACATACAAAATAATTACTTCAAAATGGGTGTGTCCTGACCGAAATTTAAAACTGGTCAAAATTATTCAATGCTTAACCAAGTTAAAAAAAATCTTGAATTTAAAATTATTTAATTTCAAATAATAGTTGATTTAACAAAAACAAATTTTTCTAGGTGGTTATTAGTAGTGTCAAATTACCATAATTTTGACGAAGCTAAAGAAGTATTACAAAATATGCTGCAAACTATCAGTATCATCGAAAAAATGGAAGAAAGAACATTGTGTATAGCGTATGCCTATGTATCAGTTTCACAGTATTACTATGTATTAATGGAATTTAATGAGGTTTGTCACTTATTTTATGAGGATTAAATTTTTCATATTTTTATTATAAATTTGGTAATTTAGGCTTGGTCATGGGCGGTTAAAGCTGTTTATGAACTTCGAGATAAGAGTGCTGATATTTTAAAACTGTTAGTAATAAGTCATGCTATTAGAGTTTGTTCTGTTTTGAACAAATTGAGCACAGCAAGAAAATTGATTAATCAATTGCACACATACAAAAAAGAAATTGATGAAAACGTTTATGTTGATTTGTTATTAAATGAAGCATGCTACTCATTAAAAGCAGATTTAGCAAAAGATAGTATTAACAGTTATTATGTAAGAATTTTATGGTGAAATTACAGTTAAAGAATACAATTAATTAAATTAACATTATTACATTATAGATCGCATTAGATTCTAGAAGAAATTTATTTGGTTATTACAATTTACATACTGCGATTGTTTTTGTTGATTATGCATATGCTCGGTATGTTTGCGATTATTCAACAACTGACTTTAATGAAGCTATGTAAGACATACAAAATTATATTTTAACTGTTGTGTAGTGGTATAGTAAAATGTTATAAGTTTTTGTAATAATTATGACTAACTTTAGGCGAAGTATATTACAAGGAATATTTATCATGGAAAAAATTGGTTTACCAAATGACAATATGTTGTTAGTAAATGCTGGACGAATAAAAGCATTGATACTAGAAGAAAAAGCGTTAGATATAATGGACAGAGGTATCGATATTTACATTCATGATGGTATACGAGGTCTGTGCATTTATTTATTTATCATTTCATTGTTTATTTATTACTTTATGATTTATTTTTTGTCTATTTAATTATTAATATAATATCCTCAGAAAGGTAAATGACAGATAGTAATTAAGTATAAAACACTAAATCTATAAATCTGTAGATAAAAAATATAATACTCATTTGTCACTCCAACTGTATCAACCATCTGGGAGTCACTTCCTTGTTTAAAAGTTTGACACAAACTAATTTTCTTTGAATAAACTTCACAATTTCTTAAATTATGTTAACTAATTAGTAATTAGCATTATTTTTACTACAAATTATATTCTCTATTTAAAAATAGAATTAAAGTTGAAATATAATGGATGATCCTTATAACCTTATTATTACTTAGGGCTGCTGTTATATTATCTCCATTCTATTTTCATTTAAATTCATTGATCAGTTATAGTTAATGACGCAATAGTCTAAAACTTGATTAGTTTTGTTTTGCGTACACTCATTATCTTTTGGTGAATGGAGTCTAGCAAAAGAAAATATAAATATAAAAATTCTTAGTCATTTATGTTAGAAATTATTTATTATATTATACAATTAGTAATAGTTAAATTATTAGAATGAATTCTGTTATGATATTTATTTATTAGTAAATTAAAACAGTTAACGTAGCATTATTTGGATAGTTTAATTATGATTATAGTGGTTATAAGTATCAAATTGCATTGTTTCAGATTTACAAGCTGATGGAATAAAGCGATTGTTGGAAAGAATGAAGAAGAACATGTTAAATGAAGCTGAAGCTCTCCATTTAAAAGCATTAAAAGTTTCTTTACAAGCAGTTGGAGTAAAAGCCCTACTTACAGCAAAATCATACTGTAATTTGGGAAGACTTTATCAAAGCCAGGAAAAATATACGGTATTATTTATATTAATGTTCTCTTAAATTACTAAATTTTAATATGTTTATATTTATTATAGCAATCCGAAAAAATGCATTTAAAAGCTATTGAAATCAAAGAATCAATTTTAGGTAAAGATAACCCAGAAGTTGCTTTATCTTTAGGTCACTTGGCTAGTTTGTACACATATCAATTAAAAAAATACCAAGAGGCTGAAGTACTTTATTTGCGTTCAAAAACGATATGTAAGTTATAATAAATCAAACAAAAATATATATTTGATATAAAATATAAGTATCATATTATATAAGGAATTAAATTATTTTAATCTAGATGAAACTACTTATGGTCGTCAGTATACAGGATTGCTGTATGATTTCCAAGGATTGGTAGAAGTTTATCGAGAACTAAATAATACTGAAAAGTATAATCAATACACTGAAAATATATTAAGGTTTCATGAAACACGTGAAGCTTGGCTGCATGAGGTGCACACTGCAACTGATGAAAACTGTACTAAAGATGATTTAAGTTTAGAAAAATTTAAATGCATACTGAATGAATGCGCTTGTGACAAGTAGTAAATTAAAATGTAAAATTATTAAAATTAGAAAACTAAAAATAAAAGTTGATGTATAAATATAATAATTATTTATATAAATGATATTTTATTCAGTGTTCAATTAAAAATTTTTTATCATGTTAATATTGCTTGTGCATAACTATTATTTTTTAAATTAATAGAAATACAAAGTTATATTTATTTGTTTATAATAGTAAATAATTGTAAATTTTTTATTATTATTATTATTTGATAATCAAATTAATATTCTGTATAAATATGCTTGTGTCATTACTTAATGCCAGAAGATAACATTTACCTGAGGTTCTAATGATTAATTTTTAAAAAGACCCACGACAAGTATATTTATTGGTTGAACTATCTATATATTTTATATTTATCTTATAAAATATTTTTAAATTATTATATTTGTGTTCGTTTTACAAACATAAAAATATTCTTTATTGTTGAATTTCATTGATGCATATATATTTTTTTTAAATAACATATTTATGTGGTTATTGACAATTTTTTTCAAAGTATAGTGAAATATTATTATTTTAGTCAAACTTAGTTAAATGCAAACTCTATTCAGTTTTCAATTAATTGAACAAATTAAAGTAATTCAACACAGTTATAAGACAAAATGTCAAATTCTTAAGAACAAATGTGTTTATAATTTAAAAAATTATTTTTTTTTTTTTACATTTGATTTTGTATAGTTTTAATATTAATAATTAACTGATATATTTAATGTAATCATTTAAATAAGTAAAATTATAAGCAAACAATAATGCATAAATAATTTTATAGTTTATTTTGTCAAAAGGACTAAACTTACATCCTAGTATATAGTATAAATGTATAATCTATATCATTATCTATAGATAAGAATTATTTATGTACCTACTACCTAAGATATTTTTAGAAAAAAATGCTTTTTCCTGTTAACAAAAATAAATTTAAAAGTACCTAACTCATTGTTAGATTTTTTTAATGAATTTTGTTAAAAATATAGATTATAATTATCACAATTTACTAACATGTTCAGGTGCAATTGCCTCCAACATTTTTTATGGGGTGGGTGGTAGCTGTTGGATCCCCTAGTTGAAAATGTTATATGATATACTAAATAGGTAGTCAATAGTGACATGAAATAATTTAATTAGCTGTGTCACATAATGCATTTATGCATTAATAACTTCAACATTTAAAGCAAAAGAGGCGTTGAGTTTACTGATTTATAGTCATTCAGTAATAATACTAATGTAGGTACCTACTACTAACGCAAATTTAGTATGTTAAACTTTGTAAGATGGGAAAACACATGCGGGTACTATGAAGTCCATAATATTTTTCTTTAAAATTTCTTTCAATATTAATATCCAAGTTCTTTATTTTGTGTAATAATAGTGATGAGTACTTGGGGTATTTGTAACTTAACACTGGAAAATTTTTAATTCGCCATATCACTAAATATGTACAAATGTAAATAATTGATTTGTTTAGAAGATATCTTTTGAACATGTTAATACTCCCTTTTAAAAAGTTTTTAAGTCCGAATACGAGTATAAATATTTCATAACTTATAAATTATAATATAACGGATAACGTCAATCTTTATGTTCTTCACCTACAGCGTGACAACAAACATGCATTTTTCATAGGTACCTACTTACTTAAGTATGTACGTGAATTTTAATTGCAAGTTTGAAGTGGTTTTCATTTTATTTCACTGATTCCAATTATAACAATAAATTATTATAAAGGCGTTAGACGACTCGTATTAGACACGATCTACGTGTACAATAGTTGTTCAATATTGGACTCGCCGTAGGACCAGCATTTTTGAACCCATTAATCGAATGGGTCGATAAGGAAAAAGGTCCAAGAATAAATAGATAAATATGATATGCACTGTAATGAAAAAATTCAAATCGGTCAAGTACTAATAATTATTGATTTATGTTTTAAATGTATAGTGTATGTTGTCATATATAAAGAAAAAATATCATGAATACGAATACGATAAAAATAAAAAATACATTTTCAACAATAAATACTAGGTATTCGATATGCGAGTTGGAGTCTGACTCGGAGAAATGTTTTAATTATTAATAATTATATGCGATAATAGACCAAAAAATGTGAAAATTTGTACATAAATCAGTGTAGTGAAGTCAAAAGACGAATTTGGTATACTTACGTATAGGAATAGGACCAGCCTATTTGAGTCCAAAAGCGGCGACTGGGTACTATTGGTATATTTAGTAACTCTTACTGTATTTTTGTTTAGAGCCTTACAAATTTTGTTTATCACTCTTTCTGATCACTTATATCAAGTCGATTCATTGATTGAGAGAGCGGAATTCTCGAAGACATTTTTTTGAATATAATTTGAAACTGACACTAAAAAACTAAATAACTAATCAAAGATTACAGTATATTTTACATTGATACGTAGGTACCAACATTATATTTTGACGTCATGTAATCAAATTAAAACTCATAGTCTCATAGTATGTAAGTACTTTAATAATAGGTATGTATTAAATATACGGTGGCGTATTCACAAGGGACCATTGCCACTCCAATTACCTCGGTATGGTGTAAGCCGTAAGGTCTATTAAATGTGCGTTTTATAATTATCTATTTTTATTGAAAGAAATACAACTGGTTTTCGGGTTTTCATTTATTTTTTTTTTTTTGTTTTCAACAATTGGGTAAATTATGATTTGGAAAAAGAAAGGATTTACTTAATTATATTCTCTTAAATTTTATATTTTAGGAAAGTATAGGTAAGTGATGTATTGTATTATTATAAATTATAAATTATTATACAACCGATTTATACAATATTTTTCCAATTAAATTCATGATTTTTTTTCAATAAGTCTATGATCGATTTTATTTCAAGTATAATTCTTATCGAATAAGTTATAGCTTCGGGGACACAGCTATAAGCTGAGATGAAAAGATATCGTTTTGCACTTCAATTCTAAGCTCTAATTTATTGCATAAGTAGACTTAAAAAAATCATCAAAACCTTTATTTTTATTTAAAAATGATGCTTAAACATTATTTTTTTCAGTGTATTTCAGGTTGATACTTATTTATGAAGTAGTCGTTAATTAAGTTATATTAAGTAGTCGACAAAGGTAGGTTAATTAAAATTTGATTTTATACACATAAAAACGTGTATATCTATACCTATTATAACTTAATATATTTACACTAATTTTAAAATTTCATAAAACTTCAAGGACTGATATAGTATAGAGTTAGCATGTATAGATTTATTATAGGTAACTTATTTGATGGTTAAAAGGACGCCGTCGCTAATTCCACAACTATATATTTTCAAACTGAATACATTGATAAATATACATTATATATATACATTATATACATTATATATTAATTAATAAATTAATCATTTATTTAATTTATTCCCCAACTCAAAAAATAAGTTAAAACACTAATTATAAGGATTGCTCTATAAAAATTCCACCTACTAAATTTTTTTTTATATCAAAGTTGTACTCAATGAAGATCAAATTATGTGAATGAAGATCGACAGAAAAAATCCTTCACTAGACAGTAACCAAATTCATTACGTTAATGAATATTATATATACTATTTCAAAAGTAACACATTTTTTTAGTACCCATATTCATATGCGTTATTTATTTGGTATTTTATTTTTAAAATTTGCATAACCTCTATATAGCAGTCACCTGAAAAATATTGAACTTCTGTTACTGGTCACCTCTGTAGGATGGGCACCTCTAAATAGCGGTCATTATTTAAGTTCTCTTCGATGATCGTTGTATGGAAGTTCAACTGCACTAGGTAATATTATATATTTTAGTTATAGATGACGTTAGATCGATATAGACTTTTTAGAAGGTAAAAAGTAAGCCAAAGCATATATATTTTGAGAAAATTATTATCTTTTCGGTTCGTGATTGCACAATACAGTTTATTTTATTTTTTTTAAAGAACCCAGGTACGCCAATTTTTCTCTACAGCTTCGGATAAATCATATGATATATGACTATAAATGTATATTTTTTTTAAATCATATTTTATTTATATATATTAAAAATAAATACTTTTTAATAATTATTACAAAACTGACAAAATTAGAATAATTAGAAATATACGAATAATTATCCTATGTCTTATGTTATCTAATAAAATACCTAATTCTTTGTTTTTGTATTCATTCGTACTTACGAAATAATAGATATAAAAAAAAAATTAAGATATCAGAATAATAAAAAACATAAACATTAACACACTTCAAATTTTTAAATCTTAAATTTTAATTCCTATTTGATAAACACAAGTGTTTATTTAAAAAATTATAATATCTTATCTGTAATCGTTGTACAAATACCCATATCTAGTAATGTGACAATTTAGGGATACTTTGAATATAAAACGATTATAGTTAAACTTTCGTTAAAAATAGCTATTATTTGTAAATTTAAATTTATTCTAACTCTGTAGATTTTGTAGTTAGAAAAAACGCTTTGTACGAAAATTGTTGAACAAATATTATCCATACAAAATTAGAAAATAAGGCATCACAAATTTAAAAAAAAAGTCATTTATGTACCCAGAACATACCGAAATTGTTAAAAATTTAAAATTGTTTACCTCCGAAAAGTGAAAACCCATCTCAATTTAAGGTCCATCCAACTGAAATAGTGGTACATACATAATAATATGAACACATAATTTAAATTTATAATACTGCTACCAGCACATATTCACAACAAATAAATATAAGTGTCAAAATTGAAACTTTATATATTTTTGGTATAAGTACGAGTATAATATAATAATAAGTAATAACATACAAACATTTTTTTTTTAGATTATTCAATATTTTTTTAATTTTGTTACAATGAAAAGGCAATAGGTTATGTAATAATAGCAACTAATATAGTTTGTTTTACAAAAGCATAGATATAGTTATTATAAAATAATAACATTTAAGTGTGTACTTTCGAATGTAAATTATTTTATGTTAAAAATGATCAATACATTTCTACCT